GGTATGTAACTACATGTAACTTGTTATACAAACACAAGTTCTCTATTCTTACAAAGTAAATACAGGTAATACTACATGTAACTTGTTATACAAACACAAGTTCTCTATTCTTACAAAGTAAATACAGGTAATACCACATGTAACTTGTTATACAAACACAAGTTATCTATTCTTACAAAGTAAATACAGGTAATACTACATGTAACTTGTTATACAAACACAAGTTCTCTATTCTTACAAAGTAAATACAGGTAATACCACATGTAACTTGTTATACAAACACAAGTTATCTATTCTTACAAAGTAAATACAGGTAATACTACATGTAACTTGTTATACAAACACAAGGTCTCTATTCTTACAAAGTAAATACAGGTAGTACCACATGTAACTTGTTATACAAACACAAGTTCTCTATTCTTACAAAGTAAATACAGGTAATACTACATGTAACTTGTTATACAAACACAAGTTATCTATTCTTACAAAGTAACTACATGTAACTTGTTATACAAACACAAGGTCTCTATTCTTACAAAGTAAATACAGGTAATACTACATGTAACTAGTTTGCCGTATTTTCCCCAAAATTGTAACTCTAACTGTGAAATGTTTACCTTTCATGAATAATTCAGTAACTCAGCTATTGTTTACTGAAAATAGTACATACTTTGTAGGTTCAGATGACTGACCATACTTTCTATTAAAGATAAAGTATTACGTAAAAATTTGTGATGAATGTATTTTGAAACCTGATTGACCTGGTTATATAACATGGGTATGGTCACCCGATTCACCTGGTATATAACATGGGTATGGTCACCTGATTCACCTGGTTATATAACATGGGTATGGTCACCTGGTTATATAACATGGGTATGGTCACCCAATTGACATGGTTATATAACATGGGTATGGTCACCCGATTCACCTGGTTATATAACATGGGTATGGTCACCCGATTCACCTGGTTATAAAACACAGGTAACTAATTTTCCTACAAGATAAATACTGAATATATATATGGTAATCTGACTGACCTGGCTATTAAACACTGATAACTAATTTTCCTGCAAGAAAGATACTGAATGGGTATGATCTGTTGAAAGAAAACAGTTTTCATGGTAATCTGTCATAAAGTATATTGTCTGCATTTGGACTTCTTCAGTTTTCCAAAGATGACAAGAATAAGGTGAAATAATGTTTGTAGTAACTTCTGAGTGATAATATTTGTTATTTTCTAGGAGAAAAACAGTGACAAGTGTATGTTGGCCATGTTTGTAGTAACTTCTGAGTGATAATATTTGTTATTTTCTAGGAGAAAAACAGTGACAAGTGTATGTTGGCCATGTTTGTAGTAACTTCTGAGTGATAATATTTGTTATTTTCTAGGAGAAAAACAGTGACAAGTGTACTTACGGCAATGGAACATATAAGTGTGGAATGTGTAACTGTTACGAAGGACGTTCTGGAAACAAGTGTGAATGTGACTCGAAGGACACTGATCTTACCACCGATGAAGCAAGATGTGTCTTGTTAGTATTGAAATTCCAGGAAAGCACTGTTTAGAATATTTTATAGTGTATTGAGGTCCTATTGTTGTTTGCTTAACCCTAGAATTATCAATAGCTGGCTTTTTAAAGATAAGTTTTTCAACTGTCTGCTCTTGGGTTATAAGGTCACTGATAACAAAGAAATGTTAATGAAGATTGCAGTTATTCCTGCTAATTACAGCTGAGGTCCCCTTTTTATTTTATTTGGGAAAATCCCACTCCACCTCTTTTTACACTAAGTGTTACAACAAGTAAAAGCAAGATATTAATATAAATCACTATGTGGACACCACTAGTGATGAATTGTATAAAAAGTGAGGGTAAAGGAAAACTCGAGAATTATAAGGCATTTCAGTATTAAATTGTGACGGATGTTACTAAATATTTATGTTTATATACTAATAAGGCATTTCAGTATTAAATTGTGACGGACGTTACTAAATATTTATGTTTATATACTAATAAGGCATTTCAGTATTAAATTGTGACGAACGTTACTAAATATTTATGTTTATATACTAATAAGGCATTTCAGTATTAAATTGTGACGGACATTACTAAATATTTATGTTTATGTACTAATAAGGCATTTCAGTATCAATGCCCACCTGTCACAAATTGCCAATAGTTATCTCTGTTGTTTAATGCTGTATTACTTACAACCAATAGAAAGCCAAAGTTTTAATCAAATGATGTATTATATTATGTTATTATATGTATAGAAATTTGTCTATTTTGCTTCAAACTTTATTTCCATGGAAACACATTGTTGAGGTTAGCTGAATTTTTAACGGCTGTTATTACATAGTTAGAAAACCAGAAAATTATGATATTTATAGGACATTGTTTTGTGTCTGTTATTATTAGGTGCAGTATTTAATTAAATAACACTTATTTAGTGTAGTGTACCATTAGTATAAAAAAAGTAGGCTTAAATTTCATTGATAGCCGAAAGCAAAAACAAAACAAGAGGACCCAGGTAAGTACCATATTTCTTGTTTTTCATGTTATTGTTAAAAATATAGCTAAATGTAAAAATTAGAAGCTTATTAGGTTAGAAAAGGTAAGATACCGTGAGGTATATACTTCAATATGGTAACATAAGCTGCACTTTCTCTTCTGTGGTAGGATTATTAGTTAGACACAGTATAAACAGTATATACTGTTACAAGCTTTGAGCTATTTAGGATATACAGTTCTAGTTTCATGTTACAATTTACAGTTATTCTAGAAAGAAAAAAGGGTTATTTGATATTTTTTATGGTGGTTACTAGATCAGTCAAATTGACCAAATGTATATAATAGAGTTAGGGTAGAGAAAATAACAGATGAAATATAAAGTTTGACAGAAAAAAAAAATGCTTGATATTTATTTAAGAGAATACATAAATGAAATTTGACACTTTTCATTTAAAAGTATTTTCAATTTTAGCATGAAAATCACTTTGCACTCGGAGCTGTCAACACTTTTTAGATTATTTGTGTAATGTTTATTGAAAGCTTGTTAAATTTTATAAAGATACATAAAACATTTAAAAGTATTTTCAATTTTAGCAGGAAAATCACTTTGCACTTGGAGCTGTCAACACTTTTTGGATTATTTGTATAATGTTTATTGAAAGCTTGTTAAATTTTATAAAGATACATAAAACATTTAAAAGTTATAGTATGGAAACTCTGATGGTCACTTTTGTCAGTATAATCCATCATGCTCGTAGCGAGAGGTTATGTGAATGTTTACAGATTGTGCATCTGTTTGAAGTTGACACCACAACATGTGAATAATGTAGTAGTGTGTGCATCTGTTGTACACGTACAACTATGAGTAACTGTGCTTGTACATATGTTTTACTATTTTCTTATCCACTTTTTTTTTAGTGGCAACGACACTAAACCCTGTTCTGGACGTGGGATTTGTCATTGTGGAGTTTGTGAATGTTTCACGAGACAAGCAAGTTGAAATTTATGTTTATTCATCTTTTTGTTTCTTTGATTTTAAAAGTAACAAATTAAAGACTTAACACCAAATATTTTATGAAAATAAATGTTTCTTTTACTAAAACTTAAAGTGTTGAAGGTTAACATAACATACAAAGTTGAATATTTGACATCAATTTGCAGATTGAGTGCCAAAATCATTGATGATTTTTTTTCTTAGTTTTCAGTGTGGTGAAACCTTAAATAATATGTAATAAACTTTCTGCCAAAAACATTTAACCATCTGCTTTGAGTTCAACCGGTTTTCAAAAGAAATATTGTACTTTCCGTATGGAAAGTCCTGAAGATGTGTGTTTTTTTGGGTAAAGTGGTGTGTGTGTGTAGTAATATTTCGTATGAATGTTTCGCAGAACCCAGAAGAAGAAGTGACGGGAAAGTTCTGTGAGTGTGATAACTTTTCCTGCGATCGTTACGAAGGGGAAATCTGCAGTGGTGAGTGACTTTCTCCACTTTCTGTATTCATGTTTTACACTGCAACCGAGAACCATATCGTAACTAACAACTAGTGAGAAGAGGTTAAATTTGTAAATTTAAGCTGCAGCTGTTGTGAATAAAATAATTATTGTTTTTGTTAGACTAGATAAGATATTTATAAAATGTAACTTGTACATTATCCACAAATGTGTTTCATCACATTTTCTTCAAAACTTTTCGTATTGCATTAGTAACTTTTGACATTAAAACTATGCTCGGGTTGTTAATATTGACCATTCTTGTGATGTCCTGTTTTAATCTGATCTTGGAGTAATATTGTTACATTTTACTTGAAGAGAGGACATTTCTTATATCTTTAAAGTTAAATGTAGTAGGTACAATACTAATATATGTTGTAGTGGTGTGAAACATTTATGTCATAGTGATGTGAAACATTTATATTGTAGTGATGTGAAACATTTATATTGTAGTGGTGTGAAACATTTACATTGTAGTGGTGTGAAACATTTATGTCATAGTGATGTGAAACATTTATATTGTAGTGGTGTGAAACATTTACATTGTAGTGGTGTGAAATATTTATATTGTAGTAGTGTGAAACACATTGTAGTGATGTGTAACATATTGTCATTATGTGAAACATTTACACTAGTGATGTGTAACATATTGTCATTGTGTGAAACATTTACATTGTAGTGGTGTGAAACATTTACATTGTTGTGGTATGAAACACACATACATGTGTAGTGGTGTGAAACATTTATATTTTAGTGGTGTGAAAAACATTTACATTGTAGTGGTGTGAAATATTTATATTGTAGTAGTGTGAAACACATTGTAGTGATGTGTAACATATTGTCATTATGTGAAACATTTACACTAGTGATGTGTAACATATTGTCATTGTGTGAAACATTTACATTGTAGTGGTGTGAAACATTTATATTTTAGTGGTGTGAAACATTTATATTTTAGTGGTGTGAAACATTTACATTGAAGTAGTGTGAAACATTTATTTTAATTGTGTGAAACATTTACATTGTAGTGGTGTGAAACGGTTATATTATTGTGGTGTGAAACATTTACATTGTAGTAGTGTGAAACATTTACATTGTTGTGGTATGAAACACACATACATGTGTAGTGGTGTGAAACATTTATATTTTAGTGGTGTGAAACATTTACATTGTAGTGGTGTGAAACAGTTATATTGTTGTGGTGTGAAACACACATATATATGTAGTGGTGTGAAACAGTTACATTGTAGTGGTGTGAAACAGTTATATTGTTGTGGTGTGAAACACACACGTACACATGTAGTGGTGTGAAACGTATTTATATTAACCCTGATGAAGCTGAAAACGTTGGTTGAAATAAAAATATATTTTTTTATATATATATCAGGAGTGTAAAGGTTATTTTTGTAAACTTTTATCAAAATAAACTTGAATGTCTGAGTGCTTATATTTAAACCAGCATTACTGTTATTTAAAAATATACAGCATATACCATCTCAAGAGCTGCTTAATGAAGATTCAAAGTAAGAAATGAAATAATGAACATCACTGTTGAAACTTTGTAGAATGGACACATTTCAGTATTGTTATAATGACACAATAACACCATATTATACTATTATTACAATGACAAATAACACCATATCACATTATAGTATTATTAATGATATAATAACACCATATTATACTATTATTACAATGACAAATAACACCATATCACATTATAGTATTATTAATGATATAATAACACCATATTATACTATTATTACAATGATATAATAACACCATATTATCACCCTATAGTATCGTTTCACTGAAACTTTCAAAATGTTATTGCAGGACCTGAGCATGGGAAGTGTGAGTGTGGAGAATGTCAGTGTCAATCTGGGTGGAAAGGTAACGCATGTGAATGTAGAGACACCAACGATACTTGCATTGCTCCCGATAGTGAAGTAAGTATGGATAATGTGTATTATTGAACATTTGTTGTCCAATACAATTTGAACAGAACTCAAAACAATTTGGCAATTAATAACAGAATGAGTTTCCTATAGGTTGTTTTTTGCTTTTGTAAAATAGACGTCTTAAACGTAAGAAAAGAATAACATTACAATATCTGCTAATTCTAATATTACAATCTTAAACTAAGCTCGACTTGGCCCAAAGTGAGCTAGGGGTGGAGAAATGATTTTAATATATAGTAGGAAAAGAAATAAAGCAATCTATAACACTTTTATTGTCTCCTTGCTTCTACGAAGAAACCTGTTGACACATATATATATATACAGATTTAGTGACGACGACAATTTTACTTTTGTGTGGGCAGAGATTGAAGTGGTATTAAAGTTTGTAATTTAGTAGCAGCAAGGATTGGTGTGCTTTGGTAACAGCAGCAAGGATTGGTGTGCTTTGGTAACAGCAGCAAGGATTGGTGTGCTTTGGTAACAGCAGCAAGGATTGGTGTGCTTTGGTAACA